AAACTGGTAATCCAGATAATCGGGTCCTCGAAGGCCTAAGGGTAGCTCTCATATTCATATTCGGAATCAGTGTGGTTGAATACCTATAATCCGCTGGGTTTGGCTGAAAAAGCGAGGTAACAGTTCGATAGGTTTCCTTGTTAGTCTCATCGCTTACTTTTTCCATACTAGCATCATTTAAACGCATTATACTCGAATGAGCTAATTTTTCAAAAATATTTCTCATAGCTTTTTTTGGATAGGGTTCTTGTGGACGAAATATTTCTTCGATAAATGATTTATTAAACATTGTACCAATAATATCATGCAACACTATGATTAGAACAAGTGAAATGCAACAACGAAACGATCTCTCTCAATCAATATTTACCTTTTGTTGATTTTTGATCGGCAATTTCCTGAGCGGATAAACGTTGCTCTAATATATAAATCATCTCACCACCCATATTAAAGAATAATATTGGAAAACTTTTTAGAGACATATTTTATCTATATATAGAAAAATATGTCAGCTTTGCATAAAACTAGTCACGTATTTGAAACAATGTTTCTAATGACAGTTTTAAGCAAAGTGGTTTTCCACAGTTTACCACTGTATTTTCCAAGTTTTTTCCTGTTAAAAACAGAATGGAAATCGAAACAGAGTGTAAAATCACTTTGCTCTCACACGAGCCACCAATCATTGGAAACACTGATTTGAAAGAGAGAGACAACAGCAAGTAAATTTAGTCCTTCTAAGTTACAGAGAACAAGATTTTAGAAAAAATATGTACAAAATTACTAACTGTACTCAGGAATCAATCATGTTCATTCTACAACTCTTCGGTTAACGAGAGATAAGTGAGAGTCTCATCCCATTGAGATTACTTATGATAGAGATAAGCTATAGATTTCTGCAACAATCTCAGACGTTGATAACACTACTTGATCAAATGTCTGAAATCTCATTGCACAACTTTCACATTTTGATATTTAGTAATCTTTTTGATGTGGGTCAAGCACCCTGATTGACCTATTATATCTGTTCGCCATTAAGCTAACCCATGTCATAACAGCCATCCTTATCATGACAAAAAAGATAATTTCGGAGTTATTCTACATATTTGATTACTAAAATACTCTTCAGCGTTAAATGGTCCAAAAACTGAAAAATATGCTTTAATACTGAGTGACATGGAAGAGATGGCGCTAAAGGTGGTTAGATACTCATAATATGATCTTGGTATAGTTCATTGGACCAGAGGTGAGCAGAATGGAATTTTTCGCTTAACAGTTGCTTATGCATGTCTAAAAAGTCGAGAGTCCTGATCTTCTTTTGCTTTTGATTTATTATCGCTTTAATTTACGTCTAAGGAAAGTAATAAAGCCTAATATCCCAGGCAACTGATCATGCAAAACGACCATGAAATAGTCGTAATCCTATTTGCATTTGACGAAAAAAAAATTTTTTTAATAGCAACTTGTTTATGATGTTAGCTTACACTAGAAAAAAATCCATTTTTTGATGAGATGTATCCTCATATTGTTGTAGAGATTCTACGATATCTCATTAATGTTAATGACTGTACTGAGCAGGGCGTACTAGGATAGATTGTACATACATGAACTATGTGATCAGCAGTATAAAGCTAAAATAGTGACATCCATCAAACTTGTGAAATAGCAATTCTCTACTACAAGCACAAAAATCATCCTTTATCGCTACAATATCCAGTATCGTACGTATCCGTTCTTCTAGTTTTGACAAACAACTAAAGAAAAAGAAAGAAGATAATAACTATAATATTTTGTTTCAAATTCAACATATTTTCTATATTACGAAAATATAAACGAATTGGGATATACTCCTTAATAGGTAAACGATTGCAACAGATTGCGAATAGGGTGTTCTTTTCTTCATTACATAGCAGTTAAATCAGTCTTTCTCTCTCTCATTTCAAAAGTCGAATGAAATTAAGAAATAAAAAGATATGTTCTACAAAACACCTGTTCGTTTCTTATCGACATGTCATTAGTCGTTTGTCTGATCTTTAGATATTAGTCAAAATGAGTTTGAGATAGAATAAATTCACTTTTATAACAACTTTTGCATATTCTTTTTATTTTCAACATAATTGTTCAGGTGTTATATCTTAAAAGTTTGTTTGAACTATAATGAAATGAGATATTTTTTAATTATTTTTCTATACCCAATATTCAAGTGATACAGTTTCAAATTTCGTAATGCGATATCTATTATAAATATAATCATAAATAAATTGAAATAAAACGCAACAGAATAAAAAAAACGTAAAACAAACATTTTCTACTTTACTTAACCCTTTGGCGACGGGAGACATATATATACGTCCGGTCTTCCCACTAGAGAGAAAACTATCAATAAAATTTTGTTTGTTCAAAAACCGAATGTTAAGTATGCTGTTAGACCCAGTTTTGTCTGATCTCAAATATGTTATTACTTTTGCTTGAAAATATAAGAGAAGTGAAAAGGACGTAAAATAAGTGAAATGGCGAAGATCAGAGGTGAGTGTGTAATCTTTCTGACAAAAGTGTCTCATACGCTTTTCGGAATCATAGGTTTCTATGATTATTATCATAATTTTTCATGATTATGATGTACATTGCATACAGATTCTATAGTTTCTATAGTGAAAAATCGATCATTTTTTTTTTATTTTTACATTTTTTTTTCAGGCTATTTGATAACAGTTTTTGGCCAATTTAAAAATGCTACGTTTAGGTATTAATATGTTGCCAGGTATAATGCCGAA